AGGAGGAGGGTTATTTTTAACGAACTGCACTAGAGAATCTCTAAGGCCAGTGGCTCTGGGCAGAAAAACCACAAAATGAGAAGACCAGGAACAGAAAGACCTCAGCCCTGGGGCCTCATGTCTGCAATGAGCCCTTCATGGCTCAGAGCAGTGCCAGTCCAGGGTCCTGATGGAAGGGCCTCCGAGAGCTGCCGTCTCTGCACCTCCCCTCCCTTCTGCTGCACGGGGGCTTGCAGAGCCTGCTGGGGATCCTGGGAAGAGCCCAGGTGGGCCCTGGCCCTCCCAGACGGCCTCTTTCGTCTGGCGAAGTGAAGCATACTCCTGTAGTGAGGTCCACTCCACACAACAGGCCCAGCATTGTCTCCATCTTAGAGGGTGGGACCTCCAGGCCTCACAGGAAGGGCCCCGCCCTGGTCTCACAGATGTTGCCACTCGGACTTCTGCCACCTGCACCTGCTCACCTGTGGCAGCAGCATCTCCACACAGGCTCTACTCTCATGTCTCTTCCCTAATTTTAGAGATATTCGGGTCTCTTATTTAGTTAAAAAGAAGAAGAAAAATGTTTTACTTCTCTGCCACTTCCTTCAGAGATTCCTTTTTCTTGTCTCTGCAATTCCTTTTTTACTACACGTTGTGAAAATTCTCAGACATACCGGAAAGCAGAGAGAATCGGGAGTGGAGGCTCTTATGCCCCACCGGACTTGGTGGTGTTAGTATCTTGTCTTATTTGTTTCACCCTTTTTTGCTGATACAAGTTGGTGACAGATAGAACATTGTACCCCCAGTGATGTCAGGGTGCCTGTGAACGGTGATGCCTGACAAGACTGGCCGTCATGTGACATTCATCTGCAGACCTTCCTGCCTTCCCCGGGATCTCTCCCTGGTCTGCCCCTCTGGAATCAGGTGGGCTGTTCCTTGTATGATGCTTGCCACATCCCAGAAGGTTCTTAACAGCAGCCCACATGGTGGCCTGTGGAGGAGAGTGGCCAACAGCCGGAGGAATCCCATGGTCCAGATTTCTGTGTGCCCCTCATGGTGTCATTTCACTTGTTCTCTCATCCCCTGTGTTTGCTGCCAGCTAGGAGGAAGGGCTGAGGTTTGGTGACACTCACACCGGAGCTGCTGTGTCCCGTAGGGAGCTTTATGGCTGTGCCATGGGGTGGGATGATTCCTGACTGCCCGCCCTGGGCATCCATGCCTTCCATATTCATTAACAGACATTTTTCTGTTTTAATAAATAACCCTAAACCTGGGCAGGCAAAATCAATGCTTTATTCTTACCAAGTTTCAGAGTAAGGAAGTGGCATAAAAATTACTGGCAGCAAAGAAATTTTGACCTTTTAAAAAATTTCCTCTGTTTTGAGTGTTAATGTGGACTCATGGAGTTTTAACATTTCTTTACATGTAAAAACCAAATGTTTTACATGTGTGTTTTGATTAGTTACTGCCATTCTTATTTAGTGATCAGATTGTCCCCTCTGGTCCCAGGGAGCCCGGGGAAGGCAAGCCCTCCTTGGGTGACAGTGCTGTCAGGCACCACGTGGACCCCAGGCCTGGAAGCCATTTCTCCAGGATGTCCTTGCACTTTTGGAGGAGAAAGATTTTTAGACACTGAAACAAGGCTCTGGGGTGCTCAGTGCTGCCAGCGTGCCATGGGCTTCAGGTTCACTTTTCAGAGGACAGAGCTGTGAAGTCAACAAATGTTTAAAAATGTGTTCATGTTAATGTTTCCAATTCACGGCCGGGCGCGGTGGCTCACGCCTGTAATCCCAGCACTTTGGGAGGCCGAGGCAGGTGGATCACAAGGTCGAGAGATCGAGACCAACCTGGTCAACATGGTGAAACCCCGTCTCTACTAAAAATGCAAAAAATTAGCTGGGCATGGTGGTGCGTGCCTGTAATCCCAGCTACTCAGGAGGCTGAGGCAGGAGAACTGCCTGAACCCAGGAGGCAGAGGTTGCGGTGAGCCGAGATCGCGCCATTGCACTCCAGCCTGGGCAACAAGAGAGAAACTCCGTCTCAAAAAAAAAAAAAAAAAAAAATTTCCAATTCACATTTAACGGTATATGGTTTTTATCCAAGTGCTTTGATTTCCTATTTGTATCTCTTACAACAAAAATACTGGTTTCTGAAGTCTTCCGTTTCAAAGTAGCACTCCAGATATCCCTGCTGACAGAAGTGCCAGCACCCTGCGGAATGGCGTCTGCGTCCTGGCTGCGTCTCAGTCCTTAGGGCGCGTTTCTCAGGCGCGGGACAGAGTCCTGTGCTTCACAGCACTGGAAATGTTTCTTGTGTGATTGTGTCACTGGCGTAATACACAGTTGCATGAATTTTAGTTCATTTTGAATGTTACAATTTAATTTTTGTGGTTTTTTTGATTGCGTAAAATCTTTGCTGCTTAGAAGTTCATACCCAGAAAAGCCTTGCTTCTCCACATTCTCTGTATTCTGTTACCTGCTGTCTGAGTCCATTTGGGCTTCCATAGCAAAACACGGTAAACTGTGAGGCTTACAAATCTCACTGCTCTGGAGGCTGGAAGTCCCAAGATGAAGGCGCTGGTAGATCTGGTGCTGCCGAGGGCTTCCTGGTTCATAGCCAGTGACTTCTCACTGTGTCCTCACGTGGTGAAGGGGGCACAGCAGCTCTCTGGGGTCCCTTTCATGAGGGCACAGTTCCCTCTACCCCCATGACCTAATTGTTGTTGTTGCTGTCCGTAGGGTAAACCGGGAGGCGGCCTGCTGCACCTTTGGCTTTGGGGGTCTGTGATTGGTCCCATCCCGCAGCTGTGCTCACCTGGGCTTTGAGTCTCCCCAAAGCCCCACCTCCTAACACCATCACCTTGGGGGTGAGGGTCTCAGCCTGTGAGTCTTGGGGGGACACACACTGCAAACGTAGCCCCTGGAGTGACCATCAGCAGAGATAGAGAAAAAATGCTCAAGTAGACTTCTTACTTTTCTTACACACAAAGTGGCAGAGTGCGGACACTGCGCCCGCCCTTAACCTTTCTCCTCCAGGATATTGGTAGAGTCGCCATGTTGTCAGTAGCGGAAATCTTTCTCCTTTTGGGGGATTCAGATTGAGTTCAGCCCTTGCTGTTTATCTCAAATAATGTTGCACACACGACAATCTGTTTGACCCTTTACTGTCATTAGACAAAGCTGAGGTTCCTTTCATCCACCCAGTGATAGCCTCAGCAGCCGGTGAATTTCCATTTAGAATTTCCGTTGGATTCTTTTCTGTTTCTCTGCTTAGGCTTCTCATTTCTCTGAGATTTTCATGCCTTGAAATCTTGCTTTGTTGTTGTTGATTGAGGACAGCCTTAGGAGCTTCCTTGAAAATATACCGTCTGTTGGCCCAGCGTCTGGTTCATCCTAAGGCTGGACTTGCGTGAGTGACTTTTCTCCTTTGTGTGTGTTCGTTTCCTTAGTGTTTCAAGTGTCAGGTCACTTGGGCTGTCCCTGTTAACATGTAGGGAGGACGCTGGTTTCTCTCCCGTGCGGGTTTGGTTCCCTCCACAGACCCCGCCTCCTGCGTGGCCCCCGGGCCTTCGCTCTAGTCACGGGTCTCTACCAGGATCGCTGCCTTCATCGGGTGACGGTCAGGCAGACATTTGTGTACACGGACTTTGACACCCACCCGCCTCAGCAGGTCCCTCCCCACGGGGCAGCCCTGTGCGCTCTGCTAGACGGGCCGCTCCTGGTGAAAGCCCGGGTAGAGCTGGGCCTAGCCCCTCCAGGCGGGAGCCCGTGGGTTTCCATCTTGCTGCTCCCCAGGACCTTTGCGTGTGCGCCGTTGCTGGTTTGAGTTGCTTTCTGCACGGGGAGGGGCCACCTGTAGATTCTTAGTCCGTGAGACCCCAAAGCAGAGGGCAAAGTCCAGGCCACGTGAGCCACTGTGAGCTCTGTGCCTTTGGGGTAAACCGGGAGGCGGCCTGCCGCGCCTTTGGCTTTGGGGGCTGTGGCTCGTCGCGTCCTGCAGCTGTGCTCACCTGGGCTTCGCCGTCTTGTCACTGCCTGCGTCGTGAAGGTTGTCGGATATCTGCCCTCCTCCACGCCCTCACCCACTAGTTTGGGTTTTAATCTCTTGACCTCTGATGTTCGTTCTGGGGCAGGTTGTGGACCCGGTGTTGTGGGGCCGCCTCTGCCCGCAGGCCCCGCCCGCTCGGAACTCGCTCCTGGAAAGCCGCAGGTGCCTTCTTGCCCGTCCGCCTGCCTGGCCCCGGTGGCATTGCTGTGTCCCATGGCTGGGTAACAAACCACGCCACCCACTCGCCCCAGTGTGCGCAGCTGGGGTTGGGCACTGCTGAGCCTGGGTCCCCGTGATCGCGTGGGCAGCGTCCAGGTTCTTTACTGCTGCAGGGCGGAACCCCCACCTTCCTGCCGCGCGGCCCCTCCCTCCAGGCCGACAGCAGCCCCGCCCTGGGGCTCCGGAGAGAGCTGCTTTTAAAGAGGTCCCGGGGCCGGGCCAGGCCCAGCCGGTCAACTCAGACTCCGTAATCACAGGTCAGTGCCAGGGGCCAGGGCCATGAGGCCGCCCGGGATCCTGGGCCCCTCTCTAAGGCAGCAGGGTCAGGAGGACGCCTGAGTCTCCCCGGCCCCGGAAGGGAGGTCGATTTCCGCGGTGTCATCCGCGACCCTCGGGGCTCCTCGTCACCAGGACAGCGCGTCCCTCCCGAGCCGCGTCCGCCCTGCCACTGCCCGCGTGGCTCCTGCAGCCCCGGCCTCTTTTCTCTTCCGCTGTTGGTGCCAAACGGCCCCGTGGGCGCGGGCGGGCCGCGCTGGAAGCCCCGTGGGGACGCCGGCCAGGGAACGGCCGCCCCACCCGCCCCACCGGAGCCGAGGAGGGCAGGGTGTGGGGCGGGCGGCCACGGGGCGAGGAGGCTGCAGCTCGCGGGAGAAGCCCCTTCTGCGTGGCAGTACCCGTGCCCAGCCCCAGGCTCTGGGACCGGCAGGTCTGGGCCGCGCTCACCGCGGCGCGTGCCGGCTTCTCTCGCCCTGCAGGACGGGGAGGTTTACTGCATCGATGCGCGGTTCTACGGGAACGTCAGCCGGTTCATCAACCACCACTGCGAGCCCAACCTGGTGCCCGTGCGCGTGTTCATGGCCCACCAGGACCTGCGCTTCCCCCGGATCGCCTTCTTCAGCACCCGCCTGATCGAGGCCGGGGAGCAGCTGGGGTACGCACCGCCCCAGGGGCAGTAAATAGCTTTCCGGTCGTTTAAACACCGAGGCGCGGGGGAGGAAGCCGGGCCCGGCCTGGACTCCTCAGGCTCGCGGGAGGTGCCGCTGGTTGGACCTTGAGTCTGGTTGTTCTTTCCCCAGGTTTGACTACGGAGAGCGCTTCTGGGACATCAAGGGCAAGCTCTTCAGCTGCCGCTGCGGCTCCCCGAAGTGCCGGCACTCGAGCGCGGCTCTGGCCCAGCGTCAGGCCAGCGCGGCCCAGGAGGCGCAGGAGGACGGCCTGCCCGACACCAGCTCCGCGGCCGCCGCAGACCCGCTATGAGACGCCGCCGGCCGGGGGCCGTTTAGAGGAGGAGGAGGAGGAGGAGGAGAGAGTCTCAAAGGTCCGGCTTCTAGGCTGCGCCGCCGGCTTCCTGGAGGCGTCGGAGGTGAGGCTGCAGCCCGTGCGGGCGGGTGTGGACTCCTCCCAGCCACCTTCCCCGACCTGCGGCCTCGCTGCGGGCCCCTCGCCCGGGCTGGAGTGCCCACTTCGGCCCACGCCCCAAAGACGCTGGGAATCCACGCTGGCATCTCCTTGTGAGTTTCTGATGCTGATTTGTCGTTGCGAAGTTTCTCGTTTCTTCCTCTGACCTCCGAGGTCCTCGCTCTTCTCTTGTCCGGCCCAGACTCTTCTGTGCGGCGCTGCTCTGTTCTCCCCGCCCGCGGCCCGCGTGGCTAGTGCCGGGTCCCGGGGCCGCCCTGAGGACAGTCTTGGAGAGGTCAGGAGACCGACCCCGCCACTAACTTTGGAGAAAATGTGGGTTTGCTTTTAAAGGAATCCTATATCTAGTCCTATATATCAAACCTCTCACTGACGTTTCTTTTCAAGGAAGTGGTTTGGTGGGTGCAGGCGGACCCCGCACCAGCCCCGCCGGTTCCGCTGACGCTGGCACCTTCTGTTGATTTTTTAAGCCACATGCTATGATGAATAAACTGATTTATTTTCTACCATTACTGAACATTAGGACAAACAAAAAATAAAAAAACACAGACAACGGTGCTGATTCTGGTGTGGTTTCTACTCACCACGTGAAATAAACTATCAACTGTATAAAGAGAACAAAATGATTTTAGAATAAAATGCAGGAAAAACTTTTTTAAAAATGTTAGTCTTGTAGTGTGAATAAACTTGCCATCACCTTTTGCGTGGCGGCCTGGCAGGTCATATACTTTTTTTTGGCATATACCTTTTTAAATACTGTAACTAGTGCAGTAACAGTGGGGTTTTTGGTGCAACTCTTCTAAGACATTCATAACGCAGTCATGTTTATTTTTTTCTGTTAAAATGTTTTTGACAGTTTTAAGAGCAGTCTTTTGGCTCTGACCATTTCTTGTTCTGTTTTCAATGAAATCAATAAAAAAAAAAAGAGAAGTACTTTAAATGGGGTTTTTATTAATGATACCATATTTCAGCTGGTCTCTGGAGAACTTGGGGTCCCCCCGGACCTGGCCCAGCTCTCTGTCCCCATCCAAAGAAGTACAGCTTCCTTTTCACCCCAGATTTGTCACCAAAGAGGGGACATTCCAGGTAGAGGTTAGGGGAGCTGTGTGCACATGTCGAGTGAGTCTGTGTGTGTGAGAGTGCATGTGTAAAAACGTGAGTGTGAGAGCCCACTGGCGTGTTCTGTGTCTGGTGTCTGCGTGCCCTGCCCCTAGCGCCAGGTGCTCCGCTCTGGCATCGTTCTGAAAGCTGATGGAGCACACCAGGTGAGTCCCACAGCCAGAGGCAGAGCTGTACTTGAACAGGGAGGCCAGAGAAGGCAGAGCCAGAGCCCCCACCCCTCTCCAGGGACCCCAGACCCAAGCCTGCAGCCCGCTGTGTTCATGCCGGCTGGCCTCACTCACCACACGAGGGCTTTTAGTGTAACCTCAGCAGCACTCAAGTGCATGGAGATTTGATGCACAGAATTCACTCGGGCATTTTAGATGCTTATCCAACACAGTAACAACTGCCCTGCGCTCTGTGAATAGACTGCCCAAGCAGCGTGCCCGGTGTCAGACGTTGCACCACTGCACGAAGGACTGGGCTGGAGGACCGAGGGTGGGTGTAGCCATTGTCCCCTCTACGTGGGGCCGCAGGGGAGGCCCTGTTCCTCCCGGAGCCCAGATGGCTCACGGCCTTCCACCTCAGTGTCTGTGAGGAGGGGCTGTGTGGGGTGGGGTGGGTTCCTGCCAAGCCCAGGCTCAGGAGGGTATAGGGACCGGCAGGTCACTTCGTCCCAGAGGCAGTGGCAGGAGGCAACTGAGGGGCGACTGGAGCTTGGACCCAAGGCTCTGCTGGCACCACCAGCCCTGCCGGGAGCAGCCCAGTACAGGCCCTTCCCCTGGGACAGCCCATGGCTGTCAGATGACTAGAATGGTGGCTTGAGTGTCCACCTGTTCTGCTCCGTGCCCTGGGTCAGGTGCTGGGTGTACAAACAAGTATTGGTTGACTCAAGCTAATAGCAAATGTTTTGGGTATCACAAAGGCCCGTCAGGGTGGCCTCACAACAGGGCACTGTCACAGCAAGTTCCTGCTGTTTAAAATGAGCGCCCAGTGCAGAGCCCACCTCACCTGGTCCCAGGGCCCCCTGTTTAGCTCCTTCCCCAACTCAGGGTGATGCATGGTGACAAAGCTTCTCCAGGGCAGGGGATAGGGCTCAGCCACCGGCCAGGCTCCGTTGGGCCTGTTGGTGCGAGCTGGGGCCTTCCGGGGTCAGTGCGTTCTGAGGTGGTTCAGTGGGGCCCTGGGGTTCCGGTTGTGCATGCCCCTTTGGGGTCTTCTGAGGCTGAGTGGACCAAGGCCCTCAACATAGAGGAGCAGCCCCCAAAACATGGATGGGGTGTGAGCAGAGGCTGCCAGCCACACTTGTCACACCTGTTTATTACCAAAACCTCAACTCAGCAGACCTGGAAGAGGAATGTGAAATGCTCCTGAAACCCCGCTTCTCGCCCCCGCCTGGCAGGGGCAACAGTGCAGCCTGCCGTGTTCACCCGGGCCAAGCGCGTCTCCTGTCGGGAAGGGGAGAGTCCCCCAGCTTTGGCAGGAGTCTCAGACGCGCCAGGTGTCTGGACCAGGTGAAACCTTTGTGATGTATGGGTGACATTTCTTTCACGAAGCACAACGACGCTGGGAAGGAGAATCCCAAACCTCATCTTTATCCGTTTGTGAAATTGCCTTCTTAGGGAAGGGGTCAAAGGGCACATAATGTCCCTCTTGGGATCGCTTACCAAAATGTCACACAGAAGACGCTGGCCGGTTTTGCCTTCAGTGATGTATGTCTCCCCACAACCCTCAGTGAGGCCCCGGTCGTACTTCCTGCTTCTCTCGTTATCTAGAGGGTGACTCACTGCAGCTTGATTATTGATGAAATTGAGCATCTCTTATGCTTACTACAGACTGGCCTTTCCTCCTGTATGAACTGCCTTTGTGCAAAAACTCTGTTGTGCTGCTTCCGTTTTTCTTACTGATTTTTAAGAGCTCTTTATATATTGTAGTTTTATACCTATACTGAATTTAAATTTGTTATGTAGCAAAAATCTGTCTTGTGACTTCTGAGCATGTAATACATTTAGAAAGAACTTCTGCACCCCCAAATTATAAAAAATATGCTCCAGTGCTTGTCTCAGTTCTTTGTTTTAGTTTTAGCTCTTGAATCCAGGTGGAATTTATTTGGTGTATGGTGTGAAATAACAATATAAATTTTAGACTTTTTGCTGAGACATGATCGGCATAAGGCAAAATGCACGGATTGCACGAACACAGCTCAGTGCGTTCTGACAGATGCCTTTGCCTTGCGACCCGCCGGTATCACGACAGGCCGTTTCCATCCCCAGCCAGCATCCTCTCTTCCCTGTCTGGACCTGCCCACAGGACGCGTCACCCATCTGATTTCTTTAACTGCACGTTAGTTTTGCCTGATCTGGGACTTTTTATAACAGGAGCCATGCCGTCTGTTGCTTTTTTTTGGCCTAGCTTCTCCTGCTCAGCAGCGTTTGCATGTATCCATTCTCCTGCGCATGCATGCTTGGGTTATCTCCAATTCAGGGCTGTTGGCCATAAGGCGCCATCAGCATTCTTGCACGGGTCTTCTTGTGTGAGAGTCTTTGTCGGTCGAGGGTGAATTCCCAGAAAGGGACTTGCTGACTCCTGCGGGGAGTCACCTGTGTCTCTGAGTCTGGCAGGATCGACATCCACGCCACTCACATGAGAGCTGCTGTTTCATGAACCCTGAGTGTTTCCAGTCAACTTTGACCCAGTCCAATTTCCTCTTTTTGCTTTTCCAATTGGTACTTTATCTGTCCTGAGGTATCTTTGCCATAATGCTTTAGAGGGGAAACAGAAAAATATCTTCTTAACTTAAGAATATACTCTCTTTTTTTAAGAGCATTATAGATTTGGATTTTATGTTTAGGTACATGCATGATGCATCTTAAATTCATTTTTGTGAATGGAGTGAGTTACAGGTCAAGAGAGATTTTTTTTCCACTTGCTCCAGCCTCATTTGTTGATTTTTTAAGAGACTTTTTCCCCCGTGGACTGCTTTGGCTCCATACAAAATGTCAGCGATGAGAGCAGGCCTTCTCCCTGTTGGCGGGTTGTTTATCTTGAGGCCAGTGTCTCCAGGTATAAACTCATGAGTTGTGGTGGCATAGGTCCTCCAGCTGTGTCCTTAGTCCTAAAGGTGACTCTGGATAATCTTTTGGCTAAACTAGGTCCTTCCTATTTTTATGTAAATTTTAGAATCGGCATGTTAATTTCTACAAAACAGCCAGGTAGGATTTTTTTTAACCTCTCCATCAACTTTATTGAGGTATCATTTAGGGATTGTTGAAGGCACCCTTCTCGTTTGATGTGTTTGGCAAATGTGTAAACCCTACAACCACCACCACAGTGAAGACATGAAGAACGCCCTTATTACCCCAAGATGTTCCCTGGTGCCCCCTGTATCATCTGCGCCCACCGCTCCTGAACGCCAGGAGACACCGATCTTTTCCTGTCGCTATAGATTAGCATTTGTATTCTGGAATTTCCTATCATTAGGTTCATGGAGTGTGGACTTTATTGCCTCTGGCTTCTTTGACTTAACATGTATTTTATTTATTTTTTTAAATCTTTTTGGTGTAGGGGTACATGTGCAGGTTTGTTGTGTCGGGAAACTTGTGTATTTCATCACCCAGGTACTGAGCCTACTACCCGTTAGTTCTGTTTGCTGATTCTCTCCCTCCCCCCACCCTCCACTCTGAAGTAGGCCTCAGTGTCTGTTGTTCCCTTCTTTGTGTTTATGTGTTCTCATCATTTAACTTCCATTTATAAGTGAGAACATGTGGTATTTGGTTTTCTGTTCCTGCGTTAGTTTGCTAAAGATAATAGCCTCCAGCTCCATCCATGTTCCCACAAAAGTCATGATCTTTTTTATGGCTGCATAGTATTCCATGGTGTATATGTACCACATTTTTATCCAATCTGCCACTGGTGGGCATTTAGATTGATTCCACGTCTTGGAATTGTGCTATTGTGAGTAGTGCTGCAATGAACATACATGCACACGTGTCTTTATTAACATTTGTTGACATTTTAAAACATCAAAATAATCTCAACCTTACAGAACAGTTGCAAGTACAATACAAAAATCTTTTTTCCCTGAACTGCTGGAGAATAAGTTGCCAACTTTGTACCCCGTCATCCCCAAATACTTCCGTGGGTATTTCCTACACACAAGGTCCTGTGTGACCACAGCGAGCCATTGACATCAGGACGTGAAGCTGCACCTCACACGCAACGCAGGCTTCGCCGTGTGTCACCGTCACACCCTTGGTGCCAGACGGGTCCAGTTCAGCAGCTGGCGCTGCTGCATTTTGCTGCCAAGTCTCGTCTGCAGTCGGGAAGGTTCTCAGTCTCTCCCTGACCTTCATGGCTGTGGCACTTTTGAGGATGACGGGTCAGCTGTCATGTACGAAGTCCTCAGTTTGCATTTGTCTGTTTCCTCAGAGTTAGACTGTGCCTCGGTGGCAGGAACACGACAAAAGTCAGGAAGTCAGTGCATCCTAATAGGGGACCATGACTTGGATTTGGTTCATTTATTCATAACGGAAACTTTAATCATTTGATGGAGGTGGCGTCTGCCAGCCTTTTCCATTGCAGAGTTTCTGTTCTCCCATTGGAATGAACACGTATTTTGTGGGAAAAGTATTTCAACACTATGTAAAGGCCGGGCACAGTGGTTTGTGCCGGTAATACCAGCACTTTTTGAGGCCGATGTGGGAGGATTGCTTGAGCCCAGGAGGTCGAGACTAGCCTGGGCAACATAATGAGACCCCCATCTCTGCCAAAAAATACAGCAAAACAATTATCTGGGTATAGCGGTGTGCTCCTGCAGTCCCAGCCACTCAGGAGGCTGAG